CAAGGCCTCTCCTTGAACATAACTGCCAAAGGGCAGCAATGGGGTAGGGGAAGGCACCAGTGTGACCCCAGAACATTAAAGTTATGCTTTACTGACAATGTATCAACATGTAATTTCTCAAATCAGGGTTAATTTCTCAAAGACACAACTTAAATTCATGTTTGTGAATATATTTGATACAGAGCTAAAATTGTTGTGTTATAGGCAAATCAAAAATACTTCAAAAACTTATACATGTTGCTTTCTATTCTCCTAATATTGTTTCAACAATTTCTGCCAAATGTTGCTATAGAAAATCTCTCCCAATTAAACTAGCATGACACAGTAGTAACACTGATGAATGCAATAAATTTACATTGCTCTACTATAAGAGAACAAAGTTCCAAGAATGAATAAACACTAAATTCCAAGCCAAAAGGATTTTTTTAGCCAATATTTACAGAACCCCAGAAACTACGGAAACTTAAACCTTCTTGGAAGACTCAGTACAGAAGTGCATTCATCTCTGATGGCCATCAGCCTGTCTGTCTGTAACTCTGAATATTCCTTTCCCATCTTTTCTCTTGAATTTCTTATCTCATTTCCCTCATTGTGGACCTCAGTCAATATCCCCAAGCTGGACTTGACGGGGCAAGTTCTTAATGCCCACTGAGTCTAAACTGAGCGAAGCTAATGGTACAGTTCCAAAGGGTGCTCACATGTTTTGCTCAACTGGGATGTGTAATAAAAAAGCACAGAGTTTGTGGAGTCTCCTTTTCTGGAGATATTCAAGATCCACCTGGACACCCACCTGTGCAACCTACTTCAGCAGGGGCACTGGACTCAACGATCTCTAGAGGTCCCTTCCAATCCCTACAATTCCGATTCTACAATCAACACACCAGAGTTAGCAGGCTCTTATGGTTATCTCCTGAGATACAAAAGGCATTTTCCATTGAAGCTTCTACAGAGAGAGGCTACAGTAATGCATTGGTTAAAAACGTCACAAAACAAACATGTACCACCTAAAAGAAATTTCATCCAATTTCATTGGGAAATCTTCACAACATTTTCTCATGCATTTCCCCACATGAGAAAGCATCCAGAAACCCTTTATTTTACATAAATCTGAAACTGTAAGCCAGGTCAATTTTTAATCCCTGCCAAGAGTAAGAAGTTGGTTTCCTGAAATGCCATCCTGTTTTAACAGCGTATTAATTTATCTGCTTAATATTTTACCATGGACTAAAATAAATATGTATGCAAGCTGATTCTATTCTGAATTTGCTGTTTCATTTTGTTTTCAATTATAACATCAGAAAAATCTGGCATTTATCCATTGAAATATGCCTTTCATCAATAAAACATTCTTCCATCAGTAAGACACCTGTAACAATTTAAATCTCTTCAATATCCTAAATCTCAGTTAGGCAAAATATATTACTGCACAGTGACATTCATAGCATGAGCACTGTCACTGAAGTTAAGTACTTTTATTAAAATACCATGCTGAATTGGAGGCTCAGCAATGAATATCCTTAATGATATATAAAAAAAATCTTGTCAAATGCAGTTTTGCTTATTCTTTCAATAGACCTATTTTCACTAAAGTCAAACACAGAATGAATAGCTCTCTTTTTTCTCCAGCTTTTGGCCTTACTTTTCATAAACTCATCCTATGCAGCTGCATTGCACACATTACGGTACACAAAGAATCTCATTTTAGAAGGCCACCCAAGGTAGGCACTCCTCTGAAAGCTTAACTTTTCCCATTTTTGAAGTATATATTGACTATATTCCTCAACTGGTATATATATATCTTTTTAAGTTCAGTTAAATACGCATGTTCTTCCTTTTTTTTATTTTCCTTCCAAAATAGAGAAAACTATTTACTTTGTTTACAAATGTTTAATTCTGGTACACGTCTAAAAATGGCTTAAATGTTACTATTTGTTTTCATTCTACTGCTTAATTTCTTTTTTTCACATCTGTCTTTTTAATTGACTGTGGTCTAACTACACTGGACATTAACATTTGTCTGAGAACAGGAACCGGGAATTTTATGGGGTTTTCATTCTTTTGTTTTTATGCTGCCTACAGTAATAATTAGTAGTACCATAAAGTTCAAGATCAAACTCCAAATCAGATTATTGTTGTCCTTTCGTTACATATTTTAGGATTTAATCCATCTAATTTTTCCTTATGGAATTGACAGATCAGAAATCACAAAAGTAGTTTCTCTTGGCTAATATAGTATTTTTTAAAATACCAGACATTAAGTACTGAAGGGTATGCTAGAAATCATGTGTAAATTCCCAAGGAAACTGTGTAGGGTCTTACTAATGTTCAAGAGCATAAATTAACAGTGGAATTTGGATAAAATTAGTGGCCATGTTGGCTGCTACATAAATAAAACACACCTTGGCATTACGTGGATTTAGGATAACTGTCTCTCTTTGGGAAGTTTTAACATGTACTTAATACAAATACAAATCCTGACTTATGCAACAGAATCATTTGCAATCTTCGCTGCTATTCCTAGCTAGTGGTAAGATACAGACAGGTTAACAAGAAAAAAAGGCCCAGAATTAACAGTGATTAACTTCAGATAAAGATTAACACCACAAACAGCATTCACTGTTTTTATTCATGCTATCTCTTTTACTTTCAAAGTAAAACAGAAATATTTGTTCTTATAAACTGAACATGGTCCTTGCCTTATGTTCCAATTATCAAAGGTCCCTCCGAAGCAATTCATTACAAACTTAGAAATGCTAATTCACTTGCACACTGGTGAAGAGTATCCTTAGCTGACTACAGCTAAGAGCCTCAAAAAAGGCAGCAACAACATGAAATCAGGACACGATGTCTGATTCCTGACATGATAACAATGGTCATTTTATTATGTTTCTTTACATCAAAAACATTTCTAGTTATGTTAGGGCTGACTTGCTGCTTTGTGTAGACTGGACCTACATTACTGGTAAATTCGTTACAGCAAACAAGAATATATAAAAGCATACTTTTGCCTTTCCACAGTGTAATATTCTATTACTGCAGTATAATACACAGTAGCTAAATGAACCCTTCCTTGGTTATTGCCCACCCAAGGTTGTAAAAATATTACTATGACATTTCATCTGGTCAACCATCTTAAAAGGTTAATTCTGTTTCCTATTTGAGATTTTTCTCTAGGTGAGATATTCTGTGCAGTTTCTATTTACTGATTCCAAACAACCCCCAAACTGTTTCATTGCTCACTCTCACTGTTAAGAACATATTGACTGGCTGCTTGCTCTGCTGTTTAATTCATTTATGCTGAGAGTCAGGCATGAAGGCAGAATTTTAAATGTGACATTTGCGGGCTGTTGGGTCATTTGAAGCCCTGACAACACCAGGGAGTTCCTGACATACAAACTGGTCCTGATTTCCAATCTTCCATGTTCTGAACACATCAGATATTCCTCCCAGAGGTGCAGATTTCAGCCAAAAGTTTTTAAATCCCTTGTGCTTACATCTTGCAGAAAAGACCTGTACATTTTAAAGTTTTAAAATAGAGCTTGTGTTTCTTTCCAGGTAAAACCAGCATTGCCTGCAGCATGCAACACAACTGCTCATAAACACCAACTGACAAAGGTATTTCAAAAGATCTACAATAATAATTATATTTGGACATTTCTTCCTGATTATTCTCATGTGTTCAAGCCAGCTCAGGATGACATCACAGCTTTATTTAACATTGCTGATTTGGCTTATTACTATCCTGATCCATATCATCTCCCAGTTTCCGGAATGGAAGTTTTTGTTGTCTCAAAAGACTTGGTGGACTGTACCATTTTTTTTCTCCTATGGGGAACTATCATAATGCTCCCCAGCTTTCAGGTCTATCTTTCATTGGGTACCTGATTACTTGAAGGATTCCACACTGTTGAGATACTACTAAGAAAGCAGTAATCTGACCTATTAATTCCTAAATTAGGGAAATCACAATTGCCTGTCCCTGAAGCAGGCTTAGCATCTACAAAGTTCAAAAACAAAATTCTGAGACAAAATTCCAAATGACTGCAACTGAATAGGTCTTCTTGCTTTCTTTCAAACATCACCAAGAACAGAGATGCGAAGTCTCAATATTCAGGTTTTACAGTATGTCTCAAGTTTTATGGATGTTACTTAGTCATCAGTCTTTCCACACAGTACGCAGAGTCCACTGTGGCTAACAGCCAGCCATCAGGCTTCAGAAGACATATGAATAAAGGCTGGGCATCTCATCTATCAGCAGGATGGACTGTGTGTCAGACCTTGAACTTTGAGAAAAGAGCAAGAAGGGATTATAGAATCTTCTGCAGAAGAAACATCTCTTCCTCCTTCTTGCCATAAGTTAACTAAAATTAGATATGCTATAATTAAAAACGTAGCCTGCCTTTCAATTCCAGCCCCAACTCCCTCATTAGAGTATCTGAATCAATGGAAAAGCATTGATTTGAAGTAAGGACACAGTAGGCAAAATCTAGGCAAAATCTCAATCTCTGTTTTCTGTTGTGAAAAACAAAAAGCAAACAAAGGCCTGTGCAAAGCAGGATGTATGATGACACTGCTGCAGTTGGAAGCAGAAATACTGCCAGCACCTCATTCCGAAGGGGACATTATTTTCCCCTCTCAACGCTTCACAGTTCCACAACAGCGATTCTATAGTTTGTCTGCTTTTTTGGGGAGCAGGAATATGATTTGGGAAAATACTCAAATTAGACAAAATTCATGGATTTTTTTCTTTAGCATCAGTACATACAACAATTTTAACAGTAACCTCTGAAGTGACAACTGTGTCATACAGCAAGTTATCATTTCATTGCCATGTTCTGAATAAGCCTTTTATAATTTAATGGTTGTCATCTGAACAAGAGTGTGTTGTTTTTACATACTTCTAGCACGAGCTCATTGATTTTGCATGACCTAGAAAAGCAGTTAGAATATTACAGATGTCGTTTATTCTCAAAGAAATTCCTCAAAATAGAAAGACTTACCTGGTGTATTATCTGAGCCACAGGAAGCTGATCAGCATATTTAAGTGGTTCTGTTGCCAACACATCCTTTGGCAGCCTGGGAAGAAATGAAGTTAACATTTATCAAAGTCAAAAAAATGTTTGTTAAATGAAATTACTGAAATTTAAGAATTTCTGGTATATCCCAGATACCAAAATTCTAGAAGTGATATTGTTTTGATTACAATGAAACAAAAGGATCTTCTTACATAGCTGAGTAAAATAATAAGTTCACTATAAACGAATGTTAATATTATTGTAGAGTTTTTTCACAACAAAAGCAGATAAATTGTCAATTTAGTGGCAGAAATCCATGAAAATCTCTCAGTTTAGTATCAAATGAACAAAGCATTGGTGAAAACTGGATCGAAAATCCCACAGGCAAGAAGCCTTATGAGTTCACAAAGCAGATCAGGATTGTTAATAACACAAGATTCTTCACTCTATCCTGCCAACATAACTCAAATATGACCACCCCAAAAGGCAAGAGGGTTTGTTTACTCTTTCTTCTTTTCCTGCCAGTGCATATCAGGATCCAGCTGATGACTTAAGCAACACAATGTTTCTGCATTAGAGAGCAGAGTAACATATATTATCTATTTCAAACAACAAGATGTTCCAAAAAAAAAATTGATGTTTCAAAGAACATCAACTTCGGGAGCAGAATACTTCACCAGCAAAATGCATCATACATCTCTAAGTTTCAAACAAACCACAGCTACAAATGAAAATGCAGGATCCATATGCATGTTCTCAAAAGAATATTTAAATGATAGTAAATGAGTACAAAAGTATGTTTTAAACCCTTTAATCATAATGCTTTCTTTAACTGAAACTCACAGCATTTGCTAAATTTTTAAAATATCATTCAAGGTTTTATCAGTTCCTTTAAAGAGCTCTAAGCATAGGAATTTCAGCAATATGAGAAGAAATAAAGGAAAAATGATCTCTACAAAACAAAACCCTTTCTACAATATTAATTGGAATTAGTTTCAGTCAAAAACATTGGCCAAAATGCTATTTTGCAAGTTCAGGTTACTAACTTATACTCATTTAATTCAAAACTGATACGAGGGCTTGCAGGGTTATGCCAGCTGCAGACTGGCTGCCAAGCATGAGACAGAAACTACAGACTGCCTCTGCAATGATAAAAGAGACAACCATAAATGCACATCTCTTTTCAACTTCTGAATTTTTGTTGTGGTTTGGAGCGCTTTTAAGTTTCACATAAGAGGCTGAATGAAAGAAAATTAAATAAGCAAGCTGTTAACTACTGAATTTGGTCCACTGAAACAGCTGATTTACTTACAAGGTTTTTACAAGGGACTGCTAATGGCAATGATGAATTTGTACTCACAAACTGCCACTTTCCAAACTTCAGTAGTAATGATTGGTGCTCCAAGGAGGTCAACGCTGAACAAGCTAATTATTTGTTTCACTGTTTTCTGTTGAAATACCAGTAAAAACTATCATCAATTCTGAAACAATATTCCAATTCTTTCTGCAGGAGAACTTGCATCCAGCTGTTTTCCTCACAAAGTAGCCACATCTTTTTTCAGTTGTTCTAAAACAGTTTCAAGTTCTCTGCTGGTTCAGCTGACTGGTGGTGGCATTGATTCTTTCTAAAAAGCATGAACTTTTTTCTTTTTTCTTTCCTCCCAATTAAAAAATATACGTAGGAAATGCATATGTAATCCAGAAGATACATGCTAATAAATGAATTCCTTTTTTAGTCCAACATGAGACATATCACTGTCTATTTACTTATCCACATCTGATGTGAATTTGAGCCCGTCAATTGATAAATTACCCTGATTTATGGATACCAGTCACATCAATGCACTTCTTAGCCACAGTTGTGCATATTAAAACACTGCACACAGAATACTCATTTGTATCTTGAATGCTTATTCCTGCAGTCTTTAAAAGGACAACGCAAAAGTCGGGGAAAAAAACTGCATCTCAAATCCCAAAACTGAAGATCTGAAGCTGCAAGTAACAGCTGAAACTACTCCAAACTGAATGTTAGCAGGAAATAAAAAAACCTTGTCTGTTCTATGAAGGACTTTGAACGTTTGGCAATGTTTTCTGTCTAGACAGAGTCAGCACCCTTTGCATAGTCAAACAACCTCCTCATCAACTGCAGAAAAAGACCTTTCTTTAAATGTCAATGGATTAAAAAGAGAAAAATTATCAATTTTGAGCCTTAGGAATCTTTACTGAAAAAACAGGGAGAGAAGAAAGAATAGTATAAACATATATGTTTATATGCATATTTTAAAGTAAAGTTAGATTTACATTGAAATTAGGCTGACAGGAGAATTTCAAGTTCAAGAAAGATTTTTTTAGTTTTTTCTAATCTATTTTCAGGAAAAAAAAAAAATCAAGCCAATTGAACTACACTACACTGTATATTTTATACTGATTACAAGATTTAGATAGACAAATTATTATATATGCACACATGTATACATATGTACATTAAGCACACACATACAGAGATAATTCAGAAGAATTCAGAACTGTTCTCTCCAAAGTTCTTCTGTACTCAGTGATTTACTAGCTGTCAAGACAACAGAAGAGCTTTGATTCTTCTCTCCTGCCTCCTCAACTGGATGAGCATGTATCTCAATCTTTAATATTAAACTGCATACATTAAATGCATGGGAGCTCAAAAAAGTGACAAAAAAGCTGTATGAAATATTGCCAAAGAATGTCCTTTACTTGGAGCAAGTCATTAACTTGAGCTAGCAGGTATGATAAAGCACTGTATCAATAAACTTTGGGCATTTGAGGTTACGGGCTAAGGTGCAAGAATAACTCACAGTAAGTGGCATTTGTAAATTTGACAACAGTAGCATGGTATTCATTATTATGATGTTGCAGTGCTATCATCTGAAGTTACAGCAGGGCATTTTGTCAAGAGAATGAACAGACCACCACCTCCTACCACCAAATGCTCAGCTCACTCTAAGAAAAATCAGCTGTGAAGAGGATATGCAGATAATTGAGCCAAACAAAAACATCAAGCTCTCACTGAACATAAATTTTTTTTTTGCCTATATTTATAAGCACGTATAAGACAAATACAGCTATCTGAGCCTAAGACAAATACAGCTATCAGAGCCTAAAACCCCCTGGAAGTAGACACATTTACTATATTTTAAATAGTCTTTTTAATATAGAACAGACACAACTGGTTGCCAATAAGATCCAGCAACACCATGTACCTCCCTTCCCCAAAGCAGCAGCATCCTAAACTGGTTACTTTTGGCAACCAGTACAGCCTGAGCCATGTGCAAACATTGGGACAGCACTACTTCTAGTGAGAAAAACTATGCTGACAGATAAACACCACAGAACTGCAATACAGTACATACATCTGTCTAATTCGTGAGCACAGAACACTGTCATACTCCATCAAGAGAATTAGTCAGCGTGGTCAGCTTTGCAATCAAATTTTAAAAAGCAACAATCAGGACAGTCAGTATAAAGAATGATGGGAAAACCTACTGCAAAACTGCAACAGAATCCTACACGAGCCCCACTGTAGCTGAGCCTCATTGGCTGGATGAATTACCTGTAAAAGACTCTTCTAAAAGGACAGAAAGGCCGTAACTAGAAAGGAGAAAAAAGTTGACACAGAGGACATTCTATTTCCTCCTGTGTTTTTAGGGTGGCTGAAGAAGAACAGGTCAGGAAAAAGATCATATTCATTGCCATGTTTCTGACCTTGCTTTTCTCTTTCAGACAGACACAAGGAAGTTGCTTATTTTGCTCACAGAATTTCCAGATGCCTGGAATTGCATTCATTTTTGTTAAAAAGCAGTTATGTCAGGAAAAAAAAATACAGAAAGTCACCTCAGTGGATTGAATTTGTGCTCAAATCACGAGGTAATTTGAGGCTGTAAATTCACAAAATCATTTGGCCTCACTTTTTACTTCACTGATATTTGACACTTAAACCTCTATAACATTATGAGCTAATTTGTTGTAATACATATTTCTTTGTATGCTTGATGTCTTTCAAAACAATTCTACTACAAAAAACAAAAGTCATCTTTCATGAATTAATTTTCCAGTGAGAAATGCTCCTTTCTGTCTCAATTGAGCATGACAGCAGAGTGCTGCCAACAGTGGCAAAGCAAGCTAACACAGCAGCACATCAGCACATACTGCATCACGCCTGACAGCTGGTAAGCAAAGCATAAGGAGATCTCGATTTTTATAGAGAAGACTAGGAAGAAACAGAAAATCAGAAGAGATGCGGGAAGCAGTAAGAGAGCAAAAGAGGAGGATCCCGAAAAATTCAATTTGGAAGTTATTTTTATACTGCTGCTGTGAGCGTTCTCAGATGGAGGAAAGTAAGCATAAAACAGACACTATGGAAAGTGAGTCTAAATCCAGTAAAATGTGTCAAGATAGTGAAAAATCTTATTTGTTATTTACATTTACATGTTCTTTCTTATGGGAAAATTCCTGAGAGACCCAATGAGTGCTGAAATACAAATCCTTACAATCAAGAAGTGGCATATTTTGCCACAAGTGCTATGGTCTGCTACACAGAATAGCTGCAATGGCTTTAGGGCATAGACATATTTCATCTCATGCAAGCATTGTAAAAAAATACAAGAAAAAAGAGCAGCATGTGATCACTACCTGGTTTGCTCATGGCAGAAATGTGCAGTTAGGACACTTCAGGAAAGAGAAAAGACTTGATAATCAGGACAACCTGCACAATACAGCCATAAAGGCTGGCTCAGTAGTCAACGTAAACATTCATTAATTACATGAGGTAGTAGGGCTAAGGCCTATACAGTTTCTAGATATGCTGGTTTGAAAAGAGCACATATGAGACCCATGCACAAGTAATACTGCACCTCTTTGAAGCCACTGATTCTGAAAGGTAAGTCCTAACATATAACCACTCCTCTCAGAAACCACACAAGATCAAAGTCAGAGTGTTAAGTCAGGGTAAGGAGAACAGGCAATCAGAGACAAAAATACAGTAAGGAAGAAGAGCCTTGCACAGCTCACAAACCGCAGCCTCGTTTGTTT